TTTGGGTGCGTCGATCATTTGACCTACTATTAAAAATTTTACACAAATGATCTGCGTGACAAATCGTGTGACTGGTAGAATAAGAATACTAGCAAGTTGGTAAAAATTTTCTTTGATTGTTTTCAGATTCTGTATACTTGATTTTAATGCTTGTTGATTCGAAAAAATGCTCTCAATAAGTTTTGAATCTAATTCGATTTTGAAAATTAATTGTACAGATTCGTTTAAATTTTCCGCATTCTAAAACTGCTTAGTAACAAACTCCTCTATTTCGTCTAGGGTATAAAGAAGTCTATTAGCATTATCACCTTCGTTGATTTCTTAAAAAAGTTCTGGAGAGGGTTCTTTATAAACATAAGCATTATCATCTATTTCAAGATCTACGAGGTCAGAAAGGGATTTACTTGAACTAATACTTGTCTGAGATATTGTGGTAGCAATATTTGGAATTGGTGCATTCAGACTAGCTTCAAGTTTTGACTTTTTCCTAGTAAGCGAATCATCTTTTCATATATTCTTTTGCCTATTGTTATTACATTGATTACAGGTTGAATGCATATATGGCTTGTTATTACCTCTTAAACGGTAAAATTCCTCTTTTATCTTTGTGCTAGAGCAACATGAGCACACTTGAGTTTCGGAGGTCAGGTTAGAAATATCATTACAATTCATTTTATTCTATGTTGTGAAATCAGCGATGTTTTATTAATTACTTAAAAGTATTTTCAGGAACTTTTATTATTTTAATTTTTTTAGCTTAAAAATTTGAAGATTTTAATTTTTGTTATAATGCTAATTCATCCTTTTTATAAAAAGTATAATGATAAGGGATTCGAATCTATAATTTTAATTTCGAAGAATGCATGATCCAAAGGTGAGGCTTTGTTGTATTGAATGGTAAATTTGTTATTGAGTTTCTAAATTTTGTTAATTATTTAATTTTTTTACACGGCCACAGTTTTTACTTCTATAGGTATTATTAATTATCTCAATTTTTCCTTTATTATTGTTAGTAATTATATGGTTTGTACTATCGAGGCATTACTCAAAGTTCTTACACATGGTCACAATTTACCCAAAAAGTATTTATAACTACTTCCTTAAGATTCTTATGCATGGCTACAATTTTACTAAGATAGGTATCTCTTTTACTGTCAACAATAATTTGTTGTGGATTATCGTGAAATCAGATCATTGTGAAATTTGGATCTATTTTATGTACGATTTTTAAAATTTTTTGAGATCTTTTTTATCAGCTTTTTTTTATAGTTAGGTTAGGATTTAAGGCTAGAGTTATTAATAAAAAAGTATAGGTAGATTTTGGTAGTGCTTATATTTTCAAATTGAGACCCACAAATTTTATGATGATCTGATTTCACGACAATAATTATGATATTTCACTCTCAATATATTCTACACAGCCACAATTTTAATAGACGAGTATCTCTTTTACTGCCAACAATAATTATGATTTTTCACTCTCAATTCATACACGGCCACAATTTTACCAGGACAAGTATCTCTTTTACTACCAACAATAATTATGATTTTTCACTCTCAATTCATACACGGCCATAATTTTACCAGAACAAGTATCTCTTTTACTGCCAACAATAATTATAATTTTTCACTCTCAATTCATACACGTCCACAATTTTACTAGGACAAGTATCTCTTTTACACAAGTATCTCTTTTACTGCCAACAATAATTATGATTTTTCACTTTCAATTCATACACGGCCATAATTTTATCAGAACAAGTATCTCTTTTACTGCAAAAATTAATTATGATTTTTCACTCTCAATATATTCATACACAGCCACAATTCTTACTTAGATAAGTATTATTAGTACATACTTCGCCTCCTTTCATTATCTCTCACATTAACTTAATGAATCTAATATTTATTTAGTAGCGATTGCAATTATTTGACAAAAACCTGTGTTATGCATAACCCTTAACTTTTTATGAAAGATTTTTAAATACATTACTTCGAATCCATATAAAATTTTACAAGCCAATGCATTAAATAAAACAAATTAAAATTTAACTTTATTTATACTGTTTTAAGTAGCATTTAAATAAAATTTCAAAATCAAATAATTTTATAAGCAACTTAACAAACTGAATTTTTATTATAAGCGATTTTTGAAAAATAACCTCTGTTTAAATGAATTAGCGCTAGCTAATAATTTTATTTCATTTTTTGAGTTTTATATGCTTATCGGATAATTTTTTTTCTTTTTTTTTAATGCTAGAATTATTTTATTTGTCTGTTGATCTCAAAATATAACAATAAAGTTTTATATTCACAATTGTATGTATAACAAAATTCTTCAATTAAATTTTTTAGCTTCGTAAACTTACAAAACTTCATTAATCGCTTTGTTATTAGTATTTTTTTTTTTTTTTTTTTTTGGCGATCCTGCCTTTATTATTTAAATCGGAAGTATCAGAACTTTACATTTATGCTAAATATAA